AGAGGGGGGACTCTGGCTGCTGACAGTGGTCTATATCTTGGTCTTGGTGTATTCACTTAGGTATATCACCAAGCTGTTTACTTATATCTCAACAACATGCATACTTTTCTCTATACATTTTATATTTCAATAAAAATTTTGGATGGATGGATAGAGAGATAGATAAAGATAAGACAGGAATGGGGATAGGAGAGCAAAAAAGAAAGGAAGAAAGACAGGGAGAGAGGAAGAAGGGAGTATAATAAAGTGATCCTATCGGGGTACACCTAAAGAGTCCTTATCACTGTGTTTGCTCTAATTCCTACAACTGCTTTTAGTACTTGGTCTATCTCTTCCTTTACTACCAACCTGTCCCCTGGCACTTTTCAATGTTATCAATGTAGCTGCCAATATCAAGCCATTCCTGTCTTCTAATTTGTAATTCAGTGTTTGCTATGGGGTTAGAAATGCTATAATCAGTCATGTTAGAACTGTATGTGAATTAAGAGTGAACAGATTCTGAGGGATCTCCTATGAGTAAAGTGAATCCTCTTTAATGTATGTCTTTTTGTAACCCTCTATTTTGCCTGCTCAGAGGCTTTTTTTGCTGAAGAATATGCCAAATATAGGAGTTCCAAAGAGATGAAGTTGCTACTGGACCCTATCCGTGATTAGTCTCCAGGCCAGACCTAGAACTAACTAACACAGAAGTCCAGATCCCACAAGTTTACTTATTTGAAATAGTATAAAGGACATTATCAATCAATAAATATACTTCCAAAAAAAGAAAAGAAACCAATGACTTCTTATAAAGACATTATGAAGAATTTTTCTAGCTGTATCACTCATAGAACATTACACCAGTTTTAAAGACAATGTATTCCTTTCCATTTTGTATTTTTATTTTTGTTTTTAAACTCCCCCAAAAGTATACTACTACAGGTTTTATTTAAAACCTTTTTAAGGATTCTAAGTCAAAAATTCAAGTTAAACTGAGGATAGCCTTTTTCTACACAATAATCCCAAACTATCTTTGGTGGTTTTTAATTTCCTTTAACATCCTAGTTTCATGTAACTTCCTTCTGTATCCACTCTCCGTGAAAAACAAAAGTTAACTCTTAAAAATGAGCTAAAATTTCTCCACACAAATTGAATAGTCTTCACTAGTGAAATGCCCATGGCACCAATGGACAGGAAATAAAGTCGAGGCCAATGGGCACTGCCACTGAGCAGAATCACTAACAGGGCCAGAGCCATCCCTTCAAACCAGGATAAACACTTATCTGCCTTAGTATCTTCAGCTGTGACTAAAACAAAATTCATTCGTTTGATAACAGCCATTCAATACATAGGTAGCACTAGTTCAAAGAGAAAAGGTTCATCCCCACCTCCACCAATAATTTTCTCTTCAGTTTAAGAAAAGCATACTAAAAAAAGAAAAAAAAAAGAAAGAAAAGAAAAGCATACAAAGTTCTCTGTGCCTAGTTTCCTCATTTTTTCAACGAGAATAATAATCCCTTACATCTACTTAATTTGCAGGGAAGAACAAGATGATGTTTTGGCTTATGAAAACAACTGCAGATATACATGGTTTCACCAAGCCTATTTCTACCACCACCTTTTTTGGATATATAACTTAATTCAAAGACAAGTGAGATCAATAAAGAATAGGATTATGAACATCATGAAAAGACTGGAAAAACAAAGTTCTATCTCTTCTTTGCCACAGCAGGTAAATAAATCCATCACCATTCATCGCTGCCTGTCCTTTTGATGTCTTGTCTGAAATGCCATTGTACTGCTGAGACCAGAGAAATGTAACAAAGTCATTGCCACGAAATCATGACAGTCATAAATATGGCTTTAGGTAAAATAAAATCAGTCATCCCTCCAAACAAGTAGTGTGTGTGTGTAAATGTACATCATACAAAAGAAATGAGTAAAAGGGTAGGTTAGGAAAACCCATCTCCACTACTGGAAAAATAACTAAGGCATGCACCACAGGGATATAAAATATCATCTTTATGTTAGAAGGACAGTAGCATATTTTCTATTCTGTGACTCAAATACATCAAATGTGGAGCTATTGGTAGAAAGGCAAAATATATTTGGAATACAACTTACCCCTAACCTTATATGAAAGAAACATTTTTCCCTTCCCTTAAAATTCCTGCATAGTGAAAAAAAAAAATCCTGAAAGTAGCAAGACCTCATTTCATAAAGTCCAACTAACTTCCTGGATGTTCCTACACTATCCATTTTGCTAAATGACTCCCCCAAAAGACATAAATGTCAAATCACAAGTTAGCCTCAGAAACTGCATCGATAGTGAGAACTGAGCTGTATGTTCTGCTTAGAGCTTCCTTTGTCCCAATAAATCATGTACCCTGAGTCTCTCCACTTAGCAATCAAGGAACAAGTACTTAGAAACTTAAACCGTCATTAGATTCTTCTCTTCTCGGTTCTTTCTTTCCACTCCCAAACTTGTTATCAACCCCGGTCTTAAACTTTATGCATGTTATTAAAAGTGAATACAACGAACCTCCAAGAGAGGAGCAGATGAAGTCTATTGCCGCACTTACTTGAGGAGCAGTGAATTCCCTCAGGACGCTCCCCCCTAACAGTAGCAGTCCTGTGGACTGCAGCGCCCTCAGAGGCAAGCAAAGAAACCTGATTATCTACACCATTCACCAGCTAATGTGTATTTCCTTTCCTTAAGTGTTGTGTTTTTCTTTACAATGCAAGCTATGGCCAGGCTATCTTTCTTGTTATCAGAACAAAGGATCAGAACCTGAAAATTGTACTTGCCAGAGCTCAGTGAAAAATGAAATTACCACCAGACCATGCTGGAAGTTGTCCCGAAGTTTACCTGATTTCTATCACAATTTTTTTCTCTAAATGATTCCCTGTATTCTTTTCACACATTATTGCAAACTCCAAAGTTATGCTAATCATTTAAAAGACTAAAATAGTAACACTAACAAACATTTAAAGTTTTTTTCTGTTGAGAAAATAAACTAAAAGAGATACATCATTATACACCCAGAGTACATCCTGTCAATTTCATTGGCCAAGGCGCCTTCTATATGTTAATTAGTAAGTCTCCAGAATGACCTCAACACATTACATGATACTAAAAACCTCATTTTGAAAACACTCATACACAATGTTGGGGAAGGGTCTTCTTAGTTTTCTTTTTTCTCAAAGGTAGACATGCCTAGAACTATCCAAATATCCAAACTTATCCCTCCCACTCCCATTCTTATAAATGTCCTATGTCTCAACAGTTCTGAAGAGTACCACTTTCCTTTCTGTCCACATATGTGGGAGTTTTTGTGTCACCTTACCAGAGACTCTGAGATAGTTACAGCAATTCAATTTCCAGATTTCATAGAGAACAGAAGTCTATCACTATATTTAACTTTAAAATGAAAGTAAAAGTTTTTTTCTGTTATTAAAACTATAGAAAAATAAGCAGACATGCTTCCTTTGAATGAAGTTATGCTAATTAACTCAATCTAATTGCTTTAATGATCATGAAAATTATTTAAATGCCAGTGTGACAGATACAAGGAGAGTTCTTAGAAACCTTTTCCAAAGACATTACATTGGTTATAAGATGCTACTGAATACTGTTTTAACTGCACTGAAAAAGCTATTCAAATCAAAATTAAAAAATAAAATAAAATAAATCCTAATGGGCAATGTACACTTTAATTCAGGTAATAGTCTAAGTCCAAGTCCCAGAGACAAGAAAAAAGGGGAAATACTGTACAATGCAGTGTCTCTCAGGAAAGGAACTGTTCCAGGATTTAAGACAATGTGAGTTTAGCACAGCTCAGTGTATCAGAAGTACCCATTAGGAGCAACTTTCTCCAACACTGAAGTGAAATGGGAAAGGAAGCGAAGAGGGCAAACCAAAGTGGTTAACTGCTCTTCCATTGTCAAGACTGAAAAGAGCTTGCTGCGGAGAATTAGGCTGAGAAGGTAAGGCCCTGAGAAGGAATGAGGGATGGAAAAACAAAAGTTTCACAAGGAGCTGGAAAAAGAAAAAAAAAAAAAGCTTTAAGATGGTAGAACAGAGGTAGAATGGCTTCCTTCTCCATCTTTCGAGTCAAGTTCAGGGTTTGCTGTGGTTTTTGTTTTTTGTTGTCGTCCTCGTTGTTGTTTTGTTCTTTTGTTCTTAAAGAACTTTTTTCCTTGCGATGCTTGCTGCAGTTTGCTGATGTGGTTCCCAACTCCTGCCTTTCTTTGGTGACTGTTATTAACGGACTGGCAAGGGCTGCGTAAAATGCACTTAAGAAAAAGGAAATCACCTCTACTTGCCAAGACGCACATGCTGCCCAGTACCTGAGGAAGAGCTCCACTGTCGCTGGCCAAGAGAAATCCCAGTTTAACCTCGGCCTCCCTCTTCCAAATCCATTGCAAATAATTGTGTGTGTGCCACTTGCAGAGAATCTGCCTGACTCACCCCCCGCTTTCGGTGTGCCAGGGAGAGATGTGAATGCTCCGTCCCGGAGCGGGCAGTGAAGTGGGGGCCGCGGTCTCGGTGGTACCGAGAGTCCCCCAAGTCTCCACCATTGGTGGGTTTGGGGATGTTCGTGTGGCAGGTGTCCGGCCACACTGGGACCACCCCGGCTCACAGGAACACACGTGTCACTGCGCCGGAGCCCAGCCCGCCGCGTACACCGGCCCCACAGTCCGGGCGACAACGCCTGGTTCCGCGCAGGGGGCTCCACAGTGGGGAAGAAATAGGGCAGCTCAAACTGCTCCTCTAAACGCTAAGAAGGAAAAAAAAAAGTACTTTTCCGCGGAAGCAGCTTTCACACTCCGCCGGCGCCCAGCCCCGGGGATGCCCGGCCCGCAACTGACCTTTCTCCCTCCACCGAGTGCGCCGAGGCCGCCCGCGTGCCCTCTGGGACCGGCCCCTGGGCCCGCCACCCCTGCGCCCGCTGCCGCTGCCCCCGCGACCCGGGGGCCTCGGCCGACCCTCCCCGCCGCTGCCCGGGCCGGGCGCTCACCTCCTGGGGTCTGCCTTCCGTCGCTCCTCCAGTTTGGCGGCGGAGTGTGGGGCTGCAGCGGCCGCTGCCGCCGCCGCCGCCTTCGCTGCCACCACAGCCGCCGCGGCCACAGAAGCGCTGCCCGGCGCGCCGCCGGGTCTGGAGGCTGGGGGCCCGCGGGATCCCCGCAGGCGCGGGTCCGGGGCGCGGCGGGGCCGAGCCGCGGGAAGTTGTCGGCGCGAGGCGCGGATCGAGCGGGGCGCAAGCCACCCGCGCCCAAGTAGTCACAACTTTGCCGCCTGGGTGGGTGCACCCTCCGGAGCGGAGGGAGGCGAGGACGGGGTGAGGGCGCTGGGGCGGGAGGGTCTTCGGAGCAAGCTGGACTGGAACCCGAACGGCCCACTAGGAAGGGGGAGAAGGTGGTGCGGAGGGGGGGTGGGGGGAGGGAGATGTCTACACGGCCCGCGTGGTGCGGGGCGAGCGAGTGTGTGAGAGCGCGGGCGTCTACTCTACTTTGCCTTCTGCAGCTTCTGCATATTTATGGGGATCTCCGATGTTTTTGCCAGCAACTAACACTGCAGCAGTGGTGCCCGGCTCGGGCACCCCTCGGGAGCGAGCTGGGGGACGGGGAATCGGGAAAGGCGGCCGTGGCGGAGGCTGTGCCACGGGCGCGAGCCCGCGATCCATATTTAAAGCCGCGAGTGGCCTCGGCCGGCCCCCTGCCCTGCCCTCGCTCGCGCCGCCCGGCCCCCACCGCTCCGGGCCGCGGCTCGGCGTCAGCCGCCCGGGCATCGGCGGCAGCGGGGAGGGGCCTGGGGCCGCACCGCCTCCGCCGGGGGCTCGGGCTCTGCGCGCCGCGCCCGCCTGGAACTGGCCAACGCTCCGGCTCCCGACCGGCTGCCTTCGCCTTCCTGGGTCCCCTCTCTCTCCCGCCCTGAGCTAGCTGCTAGGTCCAGCTCTTTGTCTTAGTCACAGCAGTTCCCCACTGGGGACAGCCTGTTCTCTCGGGCAGAACCGAAGTTGCTTGCGTTTCCTAGCCCCAGATCACTCTTGAGGCTACTTTATAAAACTTGAGGCGTCTAGGTAGAGAGAGTGCTACCAGCACACAGTCATCGTTCACCTTTAGCAGAGGATGTCCGGAGAGAGTACGGTTCTCAGCTTTGTCCTATGTCACGGGTGGTTTCTGTCTTCCTCATGCAGTTTGAGAAACATCTTTAGCCCTCCAAGGGAGTCTTCTTGAGCGTACAAGTTACTATTTGTATTTACTTTGTTCCTAAGGCTAATTATTGAGGTTTAAGTACACTTTGCTAAGCAAATAATACTAATAATATATCAGTGACCCATCCCCATTATGATCAGTGAAGTAAACTATTAAAATATCAACAGACTGTCAGCACGGACACCGTCTAAGTTTCTGGGTACTGCTAGAGAGTAGCCACTTAATGGATGTGAGCCACGCGGTGTATGATGCAAGCATATGATTTCCTATTAATACATATCATATATATATATATATAACATATGTGTGGAAGTCACTGACCAAACTGCATTTTCAACAGTAACCACCAAAACACATAAAACCCAAGAAAAATAATTGCACATACAGACTACCTGCTCCTGGTTCCAAATCCTTCTTCAAAACTAAGCAATAACTAATAAGACCTCCGGGGGTGGAGGGAGGGTGGGATATTCTGAAGGAAAATAACTTAGGGACAGAAGCTTCTCTTTCTAGTATTTAAAACTGGAAGAGATCCATTGTACCTCACCAGTGCTTAGGATGCAGGCATTTAAAGAAAAAAAAAGGTATATTTAAAACCCTCAATTAATGGTCAGAAGGCACTAGGAACCACCCAAAGCTGTCTACTGTCTGAAATTAAAATGTACTAATGTCGTGTGTCCAGTTGGTGTTACATCTGGCTCAAATATATGTTCACGCATTCTACATACCCCACTGCAGTGACATGGGGAATTAGAAACAGAAGATTGGGGGGAAAAATTAGCTTTAAAATTTGTGCCTACATAGTTATATTTTGTTTTTAGACTAATGTTAAAATTAACTTTCAGTGCCTGAGCACACAGTTAGCAAGAATCAGCAACCCCAAAGTAAGCTCACAGGCAAAGGGAAGCCACTTTTGTATTAAGAATTTGACACTGCTGTTCAGCAGTTTTTCACACTGTGGATTATGTATTTCAACATAGCTGGCAATTTCTCATTATAATCGTGAACCAGCCATGAATGGTCAGCGTCGGTGAATGTTTGGGAAAGGAATAGTGCAAGGAACTTATGTTTTCTAACATTCTGGTGCAAAATATATCAAACTGTTCTTCACACAAAACAAATAGGTAACCCCTGGAAGCCTTTCACTATTGAGATTGGCACAACTTCACCCTGAAAGGGGTATAAAATTGGTGTGTGGGGTGGGAGGCAGGGAGGGAATTAGAGCACTATGAGGTGAGGTTTTGTGTGTGCCTTAATGAGAAAAAGAGTTGTCTTTGGCAAAGAGCCAACAACCTCTGTTATCATTCTCATTACTTGATGTTTGCTATCCCACAATTAGAAGAGCATGTTCCATTTCCTTTCCTATTGATTATTGTCCAGTAATTGAGATATATGTGTTTTTCCTTTAAAAGGTCATTGATTAACTTTTCTTGTCAACTCTGCATGTGGTCACCTTTGCTATTGCTATTCTGAGTGAGGACAGTGAATCCTGAGATCTTTTTTTTCACCTATCCTAAAACTTGAGTTATGTCCCTTGATTCCCATGAGCCCAGAGAAAGATTCGTTTGTTCTTTTTGTCTTGGGGTTCACACAGCTTGATGACAAAGAAAATGAACAGAAAAATTAATGGAATTTTAAAAACAGAATAAGTAATCTTTACTGATAATGATTTGCTTTTTTAATCAATAACTCTTTGTACTAAATGACCTTCTAGAATACCCATGCACTACTTAGCTTATCAATCAAGTTTCTTTCATATCAGCCAAGGTCCTAATAGGCACCTAGAGAAAACAGACAGATGGGAGGAGGAACCTGTTTCAATGACAAGCACCATCTAGTGGCAGCAGGTGATGAAACCTCCGGACCATGTAAGGTCCAACAAGAATGAAGATGAAGTTTGTAAATAGGCAGTCCAGGCATTCCTGGTCATGTATAAGCATGGCACTCTTCAATTCTAAAACAAGAAAGTTGTCTGTAGGGAAATAATAGAACCAACAGGCCCTTTGTTAATTATTCAAAGTAAGTAGAGTGCAGATGTGATGTGCAGATAGGATTATTGCCATAAAGCATTTTTTGAAGTCACACCTCTGTATTTTTGTACTTAAAAACGTCTGTGTTTGGGGTGCCTGGGTGGCTCAGTTGTTAAGCGTCTGCCTTTGGCTCAGGTCATGATCCCGGTGTTCTGGGATTGAGCCCCACATAGTGCTCCCTGCTCCACGGGAAGCCTGCTTCTCCCTCTCCCACTCCCCCTGCTTGTGTTCCCTCTGTCACTGTCTCTCTCTCTCTGTCAAATAAATAAATAAAATCTTTAAAAAAAAAACAACTTGTGTTTAAGTTTCCTCGTATAAAATAAGGAAAGTGATGGCTTATCACCAAATATTATCTATAAAGCACTTTGTTCAATTATAGCAAACCCAAAAATGTAGCTATTGTATTTGGAGGTCTCTTCATTATTCTATTTTATTAGAAAAGAAAAAGAAGGTGGAAGATATCACTGAATGTTTACCCTGGAGTTATTCAAAATTATAACAATCATACGTATTTCATTTGGGGGCCTAAACCAAAAGGTAGTAGCAGATATGTTACTGTTATTACAAACTACATCCTGTTACTACAAACTTCAAAGAATAATCAGAATGATTTCTCAATATCAGGTTCCTTTTAAATAGAAGGCTTATTGGTAGAAGTCTGACAAACATTTTGCCATACACAATAGTTTTCTTTGTGCTGATGTTTGTTTTGAGTTGCAGTTGTTCTGTTATTAAACAATATTGCAATGGAATGATCACTAAAGTTGCCACTCCATCATCAATGTAGTCAACCACTTCATGATGTGAGTCTAAGGAAAGAGAAAAATCCCTTTTTCTTCTCACCCTGGAGCCAGTCTGGGATGAAACTGAAGACAGATATAGATAAAGGCAGAGAGCAAGAGATCCCTTAAAGACCTCATTTTTGTTTCATTTACACTCCGTAAAGTTCATATTCAGTCTGACAAATTCCTGAATAAATTCAGCCGAGATTTATAATCTATATTCCCTCCTTCAAATCTGAGGTTGAAAAATAACCAACCCCTTCCTCAGAGGAAAGAGGAAAAGTGAACACAGTTTTTGCAAGCTGTCCGCATGGCATGAGCGAGAGAAAATAATTTTATTTGGTTAACATGTGTCATAAGTTGCTTCACAACTTAAACTACTAAGCTCTCAACTTATCCAACAGTCATTTTTATTATAATTTTTTTTTATTAGAGAAAGAGAATGAGAGAAAGAGAGCACACGAGAGGGGGGAGGGTCAGAGGGAGAAGCAGACTCCCTGCCGAGCAGGGACCCGATCCCAATGCGGGACTTGATCCCAGGACTCCAGGATCATGACCTGAGCCGAAGACAGTCGCCCGACCAGCTGAGCCACCCAGGTGCCCTCCAACAGTCATTTTTAAAACACAAACCTAAAGTCAAATATTAGGAGAGGTTCTAACCTCTAAAAACAGGAGCCTATCTCTGTTAATGTCAAGGAAAGCAAGTTAGTCAATCTTTCGGGGCCTAAGTTCCCTCAGCAGTAAAATCAAGGGGCTTGAGATTCTTTTCTTAAATAATAATAATAATAATTCTAATAGGATACCAGAATATTTTTCTCTAGTAAAATCTGAAGAATATGTTTGTGACAGAGAAACATTCAAATCTTTCAGGAATGGTATTGACACATTTATTATGAATGCTCTGCTTAATAACCCTAGGCCAGAGATCCAGCCTCTTCCTCCTACAGAAATTCTTCCATGAGCAGTATCACATAAGACACAGGCCTCTCTGTTTGGAAAGGAAAACTTGAACTGAGCTACTACACCTATGCCCCCTGATTTAAAAGATTGGTCTGGTTTTAGGTAAGA